AGGACTAGGCCTAGCCAGAAGACAGTAAAAAGGGCAATTAAAACCAAAAAACAAACAACCTACGCTAAATACGGTACTATAGGCCTAGTAGGTCAACGCCTACGGACTTTTGCAAGATTTGTTTAAAAGATGTTCAGCCGTAAACAATGAGAGGTACCTGTAAGTGATATAACTTATTAAATTACAGTCATAGGCCCACCAGGCTAGACCTAGCCTAGGACCTACTACTAATAAAAACAGAAAAAAATGGCGGCATGCACGTGTAAATTAACAACTGCAACTGGGAATTTGAATTAGGCCTTGGCCTATATGCTAGAGGGGCCAGGGAAGTTAAGACCACCTCATCCCCATCATTGATTAGGGCAGCCTTATATACACTGTAGAAGACTCTTGGGATACTAGTAAACAAGTAATGCGAGGATCCCGAAACCCGGTACTTAGCATAGGCTACTTGTTGTTTTATTTGCCGTAAAATCTCTCAGAGCTAGGCCTAGTTTGCATTGCAAACCCAACGTCGTTTTGAATCCACATGAAGTGATCATCCACGAAATGAGCACACGAATTCCTTTGACTTGTGCTCATCCAGCCCATGAAAATTTGAATTGTAAAATTGACAAATTTAACTCAACAACGTCTTTTTACTATCTTTAGGTAACGTAAAACATTTACTTCGTGTGCACTTATAACCCCCTACAACACAATTTACTGGCATATTGTGTAAAACTCGGGAAACTGTAATATACTAGGGTAGAAGTTGTATTGGGGCTTTTCTTCCTCCACTAGGCCACCGTCGCAGTGTTTGTTCTGATTTCGCGCTTGGATGAAGTTTGGAAAAGTCGGTCACCAATGACGTCATTGAGTGACCTCGTTGTTTCTAAGGTCTTTCAAAAATGACACTTTAAACTCATTTTTTTCGTACAAAAACAATTTTATTCGTAATATATGACCAACACTTGTGTTTATAATATATTTATAAATATAAACACACTGTAGTTTATAAAAATTGTCAGAATAGGTGGCAGAGGCACTTTAACAAAACTTTCAGCAACAGCAGCTGCCTTCCTCAGCGTATAAGTGTCAAAAGTAGATGACAATCTGGCTGTATTGATTTGACATGATACACTATACTGAACTCATGTGCTGAACTGAGATCCTAAAATTATTCATAAATGCAGTGCAAACAGAAATTTGAGCTTTGCATCTTCATATTCATTTACTAAATAATAACAGATATTTTTTTTATATCATATACTGTACCGTAAAACCTTGAATAGAAGCCTCATGGTGATTAATCTCCAGGCCATTCCCGAAAAGAAGCTCTTTTCTTCAGTTTGCAAAAGTAATCTCGAAAATAAGCCCAAGGGCTTCTAATCAAGATAATATGGGCTTCTTTCGAGATAGTACACTGTACTTGCATTCAGAGTGACATTATCGTTGATGATTATAATAGCGTGTCAGTATCAATAGTATTTTACTGTACTACCATTATTAAAATTTAAAAAATATTAAATAGAATTCCATAGTTGAAAATGTTGTCATAGTAGCAATTTCAAAATTTACAGAATTAATCTCGAAAATAAGCCCATCGCGAAAAGAAGCTCATCCAAGTGTCCCGAAAGTAAGAAGCCCTGGGCCTTTATTCGAGGGTTTATGGTAGTAGACCTGAAGTTTTTGCACCTATTACAAACTTTTATATCATTTTCGTCACACAATTGTTTTTATATTATATACTCTCTGAAGTTATACTTATATCACAGACCCTATATATGGAGTATAGGGTTTGTGCTCCCATGTTACATTTTTCGCCACACATAGACCAATTAATGGCAGCCTTGTTATTGTAGCCATCTCTTAATCATTTAGGCTATATAATTTGTTTAACACTATCACAGACCATGGAGGAAATATATTAATATATTTCCTCCGTGCACAGACCCAATATACATTAAGCCCATTCATTAGCTTGGGCAACAGGGCAGTACCACATTTGGGTTAGCTATGCGCTATCATTGAAGAAATATGCCTCTATACACTTGAATAATTCATTATATGTAGTGTATGTGAAACTCATAGACAAAATACCTAGTCTAGTAAATGCGATTTTAATGATACAAACTTGTATTGAAAAAAAAATGGTGGCAAAAAATGCAGTACTTGGATGACATAGGCTTTTTATTCGGGAAAAAAAATATATACAAAATAGTTATTGAATTCACATACAGTACACTGTGAAGTTAGTGATATTTACATGAGTAATTAGGGCTGGATCCATTGTGATTAATTATTGTACACTTTTAGGTGGAAGTAACATAGTAGGAAATAATGTTGAGGGCGTTGTAATGCCAACAGCACTTATAGAAAAGCACAATATTATTATGGATAGTTTATTTTGTTAACCAAAGGGCCTCTTTGCGGCAACTACGCAGTCATAGACTACACCAATACACAATCCAGCAAAATGACGCTTCCTTTACCTTACTTTGATTAGTACTAATGTGTTGGATAGCTCTGATGAAGGTGAAGGTAATTTATCACAACGATAAAACATCAGAAAAGAATAATAATTAAAAGTTACAATTGTGATACTGAATGCAGTTTTTTTTTAAAAGTTATTTTCAATGTGAAAATAAAGAAGATTAAAACAATATGCAACTTTAAATTACTGAGGTTAAAGAAAGGCCAAGTCTATGTCTACCCTGACCATTGAAACTGCGCATATATTTTCTTGAGTAGTTCCAAAACTTTGAAATCAGACAAGTTGTAATAATATATTCCATGTACATTTTCCTAAATATTTAAAAAAGAATATTCTGTAGCATCACTGTCCTTATGTTATTGTCATCGCTCTGCCTGTATAAGACCAATTAACAACTGCACAAGTCTCTCATCTGAAATCAAACATAAAATAAAAAATTTAAAAACTCTTATCTCAACTTGCAAATAAGAGTACAGTTTCCAAACAGGTTTAATGTATGGTGTTTCTTAAACTGGATTTCACCACTCAAAAAACCAGCTCCAATCACACCAAAATATATAGGTACAAAACACACACAAAAAAATTAACAAATTCTTACACTATTCAAAGCATTGAAGTGACAGTCCTGCATGTATGTCACCATGTTAGTAAGCCTGTAATGATGTTTTCTATCCTGTGCAAGATGATTGGTTTTGATATAGCATGTAGCTCATAGTGCTGAAATGTACTGATGACCTTCAAAATTACACTTATGAACGTTAAAATGATGATGTACAAATGTAATGTAGAGCCCAAAACGTACTGTTGACCTTAAAAACATAGCCTACTGTTAACATTTACAATGTACTGTTAACTTCTAAAATCGTATGGATGACCGTGTAAGTGTACTGAAGACAATTAAAATTGACTGCTGACCACTGACTTCTAAGATATACTGTGGATTTTCTTTTGACCGGTTTTTAATGTAGAGTTGGTATTTGAAATGTACTATTATGTATCATTAGAAAGCTGTGGAATGTGTTGCAGTGTCACCTTTCTGATCTATCAGAGGAACTAGTAATACTATACCTTGAATTGGATCCATCCATCCACAGACACAATGCGCTCACGATGCTTTATGGCAAGAGCACCACCAAACAGTAGCAGATGGTACGGAGAAATCAGAGTGGAATCACGAAGAAAGACCCTTGATTGTTTAACCTTCTCCAAGAACACCATCCACCCATGACAAGCTATGATTTTGTTGACAGAGGCTGGATGAAGAACAGCGCTTCCTTTGGCTGTTTCAACCATGGTTAATCTTTCATCCTGATCTGATGGGTTAACAGATTGTTTAAAGTTGATCTTCGCCACATTTGGATACAACCCAGCAGTAAGCACTGCTTTTAGTAACAGTACATTGTCTTTTGTTAGTTTAAATGAGTACTTCTGCCATGCCGACTGGGTTTTACTTATCTCAAGCACACCAGGCTCTGAGAAAGATGCGACAGGGGTGCCTTGTGGAGCGCTGTGTGGCGAGTCATCCAAAAATCCTATGGATTCAATTAGTTTCATAAGATCATTCTTTACATTCTGAAAGAGAGCAATCATCAAAAAAATATATTAAGTCAGATTCCTATATGCATTTAGTAAACTTTGCAAATAGTAATATTTCATAGTCATTAGAGTACTTCCTATTAGAAAAAAAAAAACAACTATTTGAACAAAACAGCATACTGTAGGTCCAAAGAGGGCAGCATATTTCAAATCTGTGTGTGTGCAATGAACCATGGGTATCTTTGGGTCCCAGGTTAAAATCCATTGAGATTGAATTTCTTTCTTTGTGTTTCACCTGGAGAACTTAAGGGCTTACAATTGTATCTTGTAACCTCACACATTTACTAGCTATTAGAATACATGTTTATTTTTTAATTGTTTGTCTCTGACAGTTAACTTTGAAGATGCAACTTCAACACAAAGTTTTTAAACTGTTGACAAACACATTTAATGTCTGGTGATACTTAATCTGCAGCCCATTGATGAAGGACTACAGTTCTGAAATACACCAAGAAATAAATAACAGATGGAGAGTTATTTACAAAAATATATCTTAATACAAATAAGAAATTCTTGAGGACGTCATATATAAGTTCTACTTAGTTCTGGATGCAGATAATACAAGAGTTAAAATGGTTAGTATTGCTGAATAGGATGTTATGGGACGTTAAAAAGAGAATAAAATAGTATTACAGTAGAACTTCGATTTTACGTACGGTATGGGACTGGAAGGCGTACGTAAATAGGGGGATTCATAAAATAGAGGTTGGGTTAAATTTGTGGTGACTTTTGACCTAATACGTACTTAACACTCAATAAATGTATGTCATAAACGGACAATGTTACCTAGGCTAGACCTACAACTGTACTGTAGGCCTACGAATAAAACCATAAAACCATGTGTTTAGTATTTTTATTCATCACTTTGCAACATCAAAATAAAATGCAACATCACAATAAAAAAAAATCATGTGTCTAGTGTATTAATTCTTCACTTTATATCTTAGTCGGCTTAGTAAACTTTGTGTAGGAAATTCGATTAGACAAGTTTTCCCACACGAAGTTAAGGAGGAAAGAAATTATTTTGAGCAACGTCGGTAGTTGTTCATCTCGGTCAGTTCACATGGTTTTAGATTATAACAGCAGCCCGGTATTAGATTTATGCAAATACCTTGCATATGGTTAGTTTATTGTTATAATATTGAAATAATAAGCAGACAGAAGGTAACAAATCTCATTTTACTTATGGTGGCACTGATAATGGCCATTTGTTTTGAATATTTTCGGTGTTTTTGATGACGTCATCATTGGTACGAGGCGTACGTAAAACCAAGGGTTCGTATAACTGCGGTACGTAAAAACAAGGTTCTACTGTACCTCAATATTTAGCAATGATGTTCGACTCAGGAAATTCCTTTGACAGTACTGGTGCTCATCCTTCCTGCCACGAATCCTTGCTTCTTTCCACCTACAAGTATTTCAACAATAAAATGTAGGTTATCTGTTGTCATATGTTCCATATCATAAAATAAGAATGTTGTTACCTCTTCTGTTCTCTGCAAAGTAATCCTATTGTACAAAAATACATTTAATGCACACCAACAACAATCAAATGAAATATGAATGAAAAATATATTTGTTGGATTTTGACTTCTTTTTTGGGCGTAAAACATACCAATGACAGCCCACAAAAGTCTGAATACATATTTTCAGTGGGAACTTCCTGGTGGTGAATTGGGCAGTAAACCAAGAGAAATCCACTGCTAAAATGTGTACTGCATTCTTTAACAAGCACATGGGCCGTATCACACACAGGACAAAAGTGTAAATGTCTCATCCAAAAGACAGTGCGCCTTTGTAGCTTGCATTTTAGCTGTCCAACTGAACCACAAGGAGACCAGTGATGGAATGAACCAAAAACCAAACGACTGCAAGGATCTCTACAGTTCAGTAGACAGAGTCTACCATCACTTAGCAGACTGACTTAAGTTGCTCTGTTCCATTTCTTAAGTGACTACATCAACCACCCTGATAAACCAGGTATGTAATCATACTTACCCAGAATAAACTTTGTAGATAGTAATATGATCAGAGTTGGCGATGGCTAATGCTCTCTTAGCTGCATTTGCTTCTCCTCTCTTCTCTAACGGCACAATAAATGGAGACTTGTCAGTCATGGCAGCAGCAATAATTGCCTATTGGTGTATCATGGAGAAAGATAAAACATAGTCAATCTGAAAAATAATTGTTGCAACTCTTGTAGAAAAATGATTTATGTTCCATGCTACTGTAACTAACAAAGTGGTGTGTCCAGAGAGACAGATTGTTGTGTTGTGTGATTCAGGTTTATTATGTATTCAATAATAATGTAGATATGTTTTTTACACTCATGCATACTTGATGGCTGAAGTAGTAGAGACAAATTGAAAATTGTACTTTGCATTGAACCTACCACTGGTTCCAAGCAACCAAGAATGGCACCAAAAAGTAACATTTTCCCAATCCTGACATGCACTGGGAGTGCAGCCAAGTGATGTCCAAGAGGTGTTAGGCTAGGCTGGTCAGTGCAACATGCACCTATCTCTTGAAGCAGGGACATAGCAGCCTTAATGCTGCTGATCTGTGGGGGATCCAAGGCTTGGCTAAGAAAATCAACTGGCTGGCCTAGCTTGCATTCCTGGAAGTAGAAGCATAATTAAATATGATGATTTATAACACACAATACCTGTACACATAGATTTATACCTCCAAGACTTATTGTGGAATCATATAGTGCAATGGGTGAGGTTACCACTACAAAGAAAAAAAACCATTGGGGAGAAAATATGATATGTATTTTCTACATATTAGTAAACTATCTACCTATAAAATTGATTAAATATGCCTCTGAAACTCCTAAATTGTCAAATTTTTCAAGGGCTTCGCCCCTGGGCCACTTTTGAGACATTTTGAACGACGCCTGACCACATGCGCACCTCGGGCCAAAACTGCCATATTTCCACCAGTATTTTACCTTGCCCCACACTTGTCACCCCATCAAACACCCCCACATGATTGCTTATGACCAGGGAAGTGAAGCACCATGAATTTAGTTTACATAAAAGTATATATAAACTAAAAAATAATAAAAACAATTCATAGTGCATAAATATTTCAATGCAATGCACTGAATGTAAAGATAATATAGTGATTATCATTATCATATTAATATGACTATTATCCTAATATCCTGTTAATTTTCATTATAATTATGAGAGTTGTTTACTTTGCTAGAAAGTATAACAATAAATTGTTAAATTGTTAATTTACTCACAAGTATATGCAGACACAGCTCCTCCAGTGGAACCCTTAGAATCTCTGGAATAGTGTACGACTTCAAAGAATTGTATCTAAAGACAATATACAATATACAATACACCTATATATTAGTTAAATCAACAATAAGACTTGGCATCTTGCAAAGCTTTGGCAACATGTGAAGAAAGTCTGTAGGACATAACATACTTTGTACACAGTCAAACTGTGGGTATCTTGGGCAATGTGTAAAGCAATCATGTGTGGAGGCATGAGATGAAGCATTTGATCAAAACTTGTGTTCTTGAACAATTTATCTACATTTACTTGTCATGTTGTGGTTGGAATACAAATTCTGGATTAAAATATTGTAGCACACATAGTAGAAGAGGATGTAGTACATTGTATATCAATGACCAGGGCATGGCCCCACTAAACATAACAAAATATACAGCAATAATCACCAATGCTATGGTAATAAACTGCATTACTTTTCATGTGTGTACAGCCTGAAGCAGAATCCATTACGCACTCTACCAGCTCGGCCTTGCCGCTGCTTAGCACTTGCCTTACTGATGAATGTCTCTTCTAGTACACTCATCTGGCTACCTTCTAAGTACCTAAAATGAAAGGAAATGATCAATGGTTTAAGACTGGATATAAAAAAGTTTATTAATGAACTTCCATCCAGTAATAACAAAACAGTAACAAAAAATAATAAAAATGTAAATCTCCTATAGAACATTATTGCAAAGACCTCAATAACCATCCTAATTCAATAACTGCCAAAGATCAATTGTTAGAATACATATTCAGTTACATGGTGGAGCACAGTATATTTTTTGCAAGGAATTGTAATAATCCCATTCTTAGATTCCCTCTTTACAATATCTACTCAGTGCCTCACCTTGTTTCTTTCACCTTGCCAGCATCCACAACAAACACGACATCTGGTATTGTGATGCCTGTCTCTGCTATGTTAGTGGCTAGAACTATTTTCCGGACACCAATAGGACTTGACTTGAAAGCCAATGTCTGATCTTGAGAGGACAACACTGAGTGTAGAGCTAACACAGTGTACCTTACAATAAGGAAATGGTTCCAAAATCATAATTATTGGGAAAACAATACTTAGATATATTATTTAATATGATGTCCTAAGCAGTATGTGTGGAGCTCTAAGCATTAATGTTGTACCACATGCTTCAAATCTTTGTAAAGTTTCTATATGTTGTAGGAGCTTATTTATTATACATTAGCATACCACAACACATACAGTATTTTTTTACAAAAAATATAACACATACTGATAGCGGACTTACTTTGAAGGGTTTGAGAACTTCTTGTCACTTTGTAAAATTTCATAAAGCTCTTGTATATTTGCTAAACCAGGCAGGAAGATAAGAACAGCGCCCTCTACAGATCCATACTCCGAATCAGTTTCCAATAAATTAAGTAATTCCTAAAGATAAGATTAAAATATACTTGGCTTTATTTAATTTCAATAATTAAAATTTAATACAACTGAAGTTGTGTTCAATGCATTGAGATATCACTTGATATGTTTGGGTTTTATAAAAAAAAAAAAAAATTATTATTATTATCAATTATTAGATTCCAGACATTTCTTTAGCATTTAATACCAATATTTTAATGGAAACATTGTTATATATGTGTGTGAACGCAACAGATTATTCCTAAATACTTTTACTACCGATAATTGTGACAATGTATTTTATTTTCAATGATTTGGCTTACCATAATAAGGTCCATATTTATACGGTCTGGGTGTAGAAAGGAGACAGCATGCCGTGTCTGTTTACTGTATTTCTCTAAAGAAAGACCGCTCTACACCAGTGGAAAAAACAATGTTTAATCAGTCATGATATGTATGTCTACTATGATTGAGTTTTAAGATAAATATTCATTCATAATTACCATGTCAGAGGTCGTTAGGTCATCCCTCTCCCATGACACCTTAACATTGCTCACATTCCCACCTTTGCCAGTTATTTTCAAATTGGCTTGACCCTCAACTGTAGAGCGTTTCATTGCATACGGTGAATCATCATCCAACTTATATCCGGTCCTTTCTATGACATCCTCTAAATGAAGAACCTAGCAAGAAAGGAATCAGTTTACCGTATTATTTTTCAGCCTTAACCAGATAAACCTTGTGGGTTTGTCTGGCTTTCTCAAGACATATTTGCATTTTCTATACTTTACTCATGTCATCTATTGTAATTACTGATGATGCATTATGTGAACTTACAGATTTGATATATTATTACAATCAAGTTTAAATTGCATAGTACTACCAATTACGCCATACTTTGAAAAAAGGAGTATTACTAGCTTGGCCTCATAGTCCAGTTGGTAGAGAACCAAACTCTAATTTGAAGTATTCACCCTTGTGTATATATACTCCACTGAGGGAGAACAATGCATGTATTTCTCAAAAGTTTATCATAAAAATAACCATTCCACTGATACATATGACATATTTTAAAACTTGCTTTACTTCATATGGATATTATTTTATAAAAAGTGGATAATTCAAAATGATTATCATGATAATAAAAATAGTAAGTGAAATTTTTCTTAATAAAATGATGAGACAAGCCGGTGATCACCTTATATCAGGTACTAAATCATATTATGCTTACCTGAACAGGATATGTCCTGCCTGGTATACTGACTACTGGACAATGGCTGAAATAAGCAGACATCTTACTACTGTCCACTGTAGCACTCATCAAGATCACCTTGAAATTACTTCTGTTCTTCAGAATTTTCTTCAGGTGAATAAGAAGGAAATCTGATTGGACACTCCTCTCATGAACCTTAAGCAAGAGACAAAGTTCATGATTATTTGAAGTTAATGATCTCTTTATCAATTCATAATTTAATTTCCTATATTGTGGTAGTCACACAAGTTATGTACATTTTGAATGGTGCAATCACTGCAGATACCAAATAAAACTTTACCAATTATTTACTTAAAGACAAACACTAATTAACAAACACTAATTAACAAACAATAACACAATGCATGTGGGGATAATTTTTATCACAACTGAATGACTAAAACTGCAATGAGTTGCTGCTGAGTGCATAACAGCTCCAATCTAATTATGCGTTCCTCACCTCATCCACAATTACATGGGAAACATCTTCTAAAAAGGGGTCAATCTGTAGTCTCCGTAACAAAATTCCAGTTGTGCAGTATAACAGGCAAGTGGAGGTAGTTTGCTTGGAGTCTAAACGAATTTGATAACCACAGAGGGAGTCCTGTAGAAAAAGGATAACACAGAACAATAAAAAAAAAAACACTTAGATGAGAAAAAAATGAAAACATGGTTTAAAAAATGTTCTTGCTAAAAACACATTTCAATGTGGCCACAGGCGAATAAAAAAATAAGTACAGTAAAATTTTTGTATTTTATTTTACAGTGGCAGTTGAACTAACAGGTAAAATATGAAATTGTATTTTCATTGAAAGCCATCATTACTGGCAAATGGTGGAGTCGCAAAACATGTTTTTTAAAAAGGAAGTCTAATCATACCTGAGTTCCTGGACCGTTTTCCCCAATTTCTTCTGAAACTCTTCTGGCTAGGCTTGAAGCTGATATTCTCCTTGGCTGTGTGCAGACAATGTTCCTAGGCCCAGGTTTATCATTTGTCAGCAATAGATGCTCCAAGATGAAGTGTGGCACTTGAGTGCTTTTTCCACTGCCCGTTTCACCAGCAATCACTACCACAGGGTGGCTAGCAATCTGTTCCAGGATGGTAACCTTGTGTTGGAACACTGGTAGTGTTTGCCGAGTTTGTAAAAGTCTTTCAAACTGTGTTGATTGCTGAAGAAATCAATTAAAATCAAGTTTCATCCAAAGACTATATACTATATACAGTAGTTGTCTCAGGTTACATTCATTTAAATTATGTTCTTTATTAATTTTAATACTTATATCATCACCATCATTACTGTTGCACAGCATTGTCAATGTCATCTATTTGGAGAAGCATAGCATAGATTTATTAATTCCTTTATCTTACCTGTCTTGATACATAAATTTTACGCAATCTGTCATACGATATCCTTGCATGCTTTTTCACTTTAGTTATAACTGGCACTTCCTAAGGAAGAAAAGAAAGCAATTTCCTTAATACTGTACATTAATACTATTTAGTATTTATTTGAAACAATATGGTGAATGAATGAATGTTTATCGAAAGACTAACAGAATCAAAATTAGAATTCTGGAGTAACAAGTGCTATATTCTAAAAAGAACTTTAGAATTTTAGCCTGGTTTCCACGCTACATGCTATCACCGACACCTTTGGTGACCCTGATTGGTCAGTTGAATCAGGAACATTCATGATTGCGTCAGGGACAGCTACAATGTACAAGGGTTGCAGTGAAAACACTGTAGCGACTGTAGCAATTCTATGGAAACCAGGCTGAAGTCTGTTATGGAATGCCAATCAAATATTTACATACTTTACCTCATCCCAATTTTTGTCTTCCCATGATTCCTGTTCCTCCTCCTCTTCAGCTGAAATTGTGTCTTCGGTAATCTGTACACTCTTCAGTTGTTTCACAAGTTTTGTCACAAAATCATCTCTAGGCTACAAAAACAAAATTAAAATTCTATTTCTGTTTTCATGTACAAATTTGTATAATTTGTACATATAAGGGCATGATGACATCATACTGCATTAATATAAATCGGTAAATCACAGGGACCTGTTATATACAGAGCGTACAAATGTGGCACAATCTTGTTCACCGCAGCACTTGTGTTATAAGGGTCAAGGGATTGTATCCTACATTGAAATTGCAAAAATCTGTTCAATTCCTTATACAAATAATCAACCATGACATAGCAGAGTCAGACTTGGGACAGACAATGGGATGAGATATCCCACACTAGAACACTCAAAGTTAATTAAACTCATTACATCTTACGATGTATTAGCTGCTTAGTTAGTTACCTTGTTTTTTTCTTGTTTGCTTTCCTGTTTAGTTTTTATCTCTGCATCTTTCCACTCCATCCAAACATTGCGATAAGGGGGTGGTAACAACTGATGAATAGACTATAAAATAAAAAATACCCATTAAAAAAAGTGTGTCTTAAGTTGTGACTTAAAACTGTCGGTGAAGATGATTGTTTATATTTAATACACTTGTTGGATACTGGTTATTGTGCTGTTTCACATAAATCAGATGAATATTCATTGGCTTTCAATAACATTAGCAGCAGTAAATATTTTGAATTTGTAGTTGAGTTGCTTGGTGGGTATCATGCTTGTCTTCCAATCCCAAAGATCTTAGGTTCAAATCCTGTGACACTTAAATCTTGAAACTCTTATGCCTTATAAAAAGACTTACAAAGTTTACAGGGCATAGTTTCAACCTGGAAAAGAAAACTATTGATACTACTGCAGAATAAATAAATTTTAATATAGAAAACAAGCTAACAAATGACATACTTGTCCAGGGCAGAGGGTCCATAGCGCAAGCACACTGGCCAAATGCTGGGCATCCATTGCATTCTCAGTTAAGGTGTCTGGACACACATTTAACATACCATCGCTCTTCCTATCAATTTTCACCCTATAGTCAAGTATGTAGAATTTACACTCATATATAATAGTTAAAATATAATTAAACATTAAAATGCAGATAAGTACCAATAAAAGGAGAAAATTTTTTTATAAACATATAAATAATAATAAAATAAATTGTATGCCAAGATTAAACCCTGGCTCACTGACAAGAATACACGGCACTGTACCTGCTTTTCCACCTTCCCCCATGGCAGTTAATCTTTTCATACTTCGGTGGAGGACTCTTTGGTAAGTTTTTGCGACACCAATCAATTAGGAACTGTTTGGGTGATTTACCTGTCCACTGCTGTCTTGTGTATGACAAATCTCGCACATCCAGAACAGGCTTTTTCTGCTCACTTTCACTGGGTTTACTTGAGTCTGAAATTATAAAAAAATTACTGAAACATCAACATTAAATGAATTATCACTTATATTAAATTAAATTTAAATTCTAACTAATTAATATTCAAATTCCAATCATACTTTACCCGAGGCTGCATTTTCCTCGGCAGCTGCAAATAATGCAAATGCGCCGATTGGTTCATCATTCTCTTCATTTCCTTCCTTCACTGCTGTTTCTTTCTTCTGTTGAACCGGGTCCTCTGTTTTTTCTTCCACTTTTAAACGCTGATCAAACACTTCAAGCTTCTCAATTTCACACATCTCTGTAACCATAAAAATATTAGAAAGTGTCTTGAACATGATAACACATTGATTGAATACATATACGGTAGTTAATTCAAATAGACCCATATATTGGCTGGTAATTAATTTATTCATTTCACTTCATTTATTTATTCAGACAAGTGCCTTGGGGCCCCAAAGGCAACAGTCACTATGACTAAAGTCTAGAGACCCAATTTAAGGATTTTTGTCTGTAATTCAGTGAATATTGAATTGATTTAATTAATTTTTGTGTTAAAGTAAATGGTTTTTCTAGATTTTACCCTGGACAGTAAGTATATCTTTAATTATCAGCATTTAATAACATAAAGGTCAAATGTAAATAAGAATAATGTTTACTCCACATATATCATCATCTACATTTCATCACTATCATCTTCTTCATCACTATCGTCATCATAATCATCATAGTCATAGTCGTTAACATTATTATTCCTTCTCAATCACTCCACATTATTTGACTAGGAAGCACCTTAAGTCCTCACCATCCCTAATTTGTTTGATCTTTATTCCAATAGTCTTCTGTGCCGATAAATCCTGTGATTGCTTAGCTACCGTTGCCTCACTCTTTGCATCCCAGAACTTTGCTCTTAATTCTAAATACCTGTCATTCTGACGAGTACAATAAAAACAATATTAACATTTTCCTTACAATTACAATATAAATAAAATAGATAAGGGATAGGAGTATTATCCCCTCATGCTACGTTCATCACTTATAATTAATCATATAATCTATCAAACTAATAATCTTCATTTATTCCACTATAGGCAATTCTAAAAAAAATATGAATGAATGAATGAATGAATCAATATTTAACACTGTCATCATATTTGTATTTTTGAACCGTGGAAACCAATTATCAGGATGCACTGACATCTTGACGTAATAAACATCTGAATGTGAATGAACGAATGTTGTTTTACAAAAAAAAAAAAAAAAAAAAAAATCTTAAAATTTACTCTCTAGACATCGTTAATTTGCTAGGAAATATTTATCTCATTCCAATTAAAGCTAATTTATTGAATGTAAGTATTTTATATTTTTTTCTTACATTTTCAAGTTTATAGTAAATTTAGTCGGTAGTATAGCAAGACTTTATTAGGGAATAGAATGGAACTTACTGGGTCTGTATCTGATTCCCTTTCTACATTTTCAGATTTCTCCACATCTTCATCCTCTTCATCATCATCATAACCTTCAGCATACTTTAAAATCCAATCTTTCATTGTGATATTGTCCTCTGGCCTTTTCTCTTTCTGTAAGGAACAATAGATAGTCGTACAAATTTAAAAAGATATGCCTTTCAATTTTAATGAAAGGCATACAAAAAAAACTATGATATCATAATATCACACCATCATCAAATCATCATCATATGCACATTGTTGTCCCTCTATCAACATATTCAACTGACCATCTCCATGTAATCGCAATAATTTGCATATCTGATAACTGAGCAGTAATATTCACCTTCACTTGCTGTTTTCTTTTCTTTTCTTCTTCCTGAAGTTTTGCTAATTCTTTCTCTTTATTTTGTTCGTCCACTTGTGGGGGTGGGTTTTGTTTTTTTTCTACAACCATATACTCCGCTGAGAAGCCTGGTGGTAGTAAAGCTATAACAAACAATATAGATTTTTTTCATTCCAATTTTTCGATCAATCACATCTTAAATCTTTTCATATTATTCCAGTCACATTACTATGAGATGGAGATCAAAGGATCTTCACACTGTCAGCATAAATGACAGCATTACTGTGGGCTCATACTAGATCATCACATAACTGCAATTTCAGCGAACAGCGTACAAGTTAATTAATTTGTTCTCCATCCAACAGCAACATTTTGATTATTAAAAAACAACACAATAAGTTATAAAACACAAAGTTACATGAAAATGATCTATTTCAAAACGTAAACATTTTTTACAGTCGGTAAGGTTCAAGCAAAGCCAGTCAAGTGCATCATGGAGATCTCCACCATTCTTGATGACGTGTGACATGGCGTCAGATACGTGGCTGTGCTGAAATCCAATGTTTGACAAAGAGTTGTAGAAATCCTAAAAATAAAGAAATATATTAATTCAATTAAATGACAATAAACAATGGAAAATATTAAAGTGCTTTTACTGTCTCTATCTACATTATGATATAAAATATATATAAAAGTATCAAAACGAAATAAAAGTATAAATTTCAATATCATTAATATAACATTTATAATAAAAACAATATTTTTCCTACCGTAAGTTTCTTGGCAGTAACTCTGCTAGAAAGCTTCTTTCCATCTTCGTACTCTTTCAGCCTCAGAATTTCAGAAATGATTTCCTTTTCCAGGTCAGACGGAAGATGCACCTAATTTTAGAAATGATAAAAGAGAGTTGTTTGCGATTTTGTAATAATAATAATAATAATAAAGATTTATAAAGTGCACATCTCCACCAAAGGTGCTCAAGGCGCATAGACAATTAAACCAACAAAATCCAAATAATTCCCAGAAGAATTTTCAGCAAAATCCAAATACCAATTATCCCATCGAGGCAATGTTGCTCCCTATATTGATTGGTCCAGGGAGGGGTATTTTTCGAGATATGAGGGGTCAAAGTTCAAATTCAGCATATTTAGGTCAAAAGTGCATTATTTTACAAAAATAATGTTTTCAATGTAATTTAGGTCATAGATTCGACAAGAATGACAGTTGGACAGGTATGGGGTTCGTTCAAAAGTTATGGGTCAAAGTTCAAATAGAATATAATCTGGGAAGTGGTATTACAGGTGTGTGTGATAAATGTACAGAAGAAACATTTTTGACATATTTTTTTGGCTCAGAATCTAAATTTGGTTGTTAATCGGGCCAGTGAGATGATTTTAATATAGGAAAGGTCAAAGTATAAGAAGGGGTTACAAATATTCCTACGTATACCAAAATAATGTTTTACAATGTAAATTTGGTCGTAGATGTCAGCATATGAAATATTGGTGTTTAATCGACCACATGTCTCAAAATTCAAGGATGCCCTTTTAGAACTTACAGGATTGATGTCCTTAAACAGAGGGAAAAAGAACAGTAGGCCCTCGGATTATCAGATCTGAGAAAAAGGTGAAGTCTGTTCTCAAAATACTACAAGATGATAGAATACAGATAAAAACCTCTACAACCACGTTCTTCCCATTATTGAAGCTGGGAAAAAAAATGAATTCTTGATTGAATTCTTTAAAGAAGAAGAAGGTATTGGCTAAGGGTAGAATTGTTACTTTTTTTTAGTGTTAAGAAAGCTGCTCGTTATCGCAAACCGTCAAGGTTCAAGTATCGACTTCAACAAGGCATTAACATACTCTCATACACCGGTACCAGGGGCGGATCCAGAAATGTCTTTTCCTCTCTTTTTGTTTTTTTTCTTTTTTTTTACCTCCCAAAGGGGGGGGGGGGGGGGGGGGGCGCGCCCCCCCCCGCCCCCAAAATTCCAAAAGGTCCACTTTTTAAAACCTATGATTTCACAAAATCGTTCCTAATTATCACAAAATGCTATGGCATGCATTGCATTATATATTTGCCAGCTATCTAACTGTTGATTTTTTATAATGTGGTATGAAATTTGTTAGAAATTGATCGTCTCCGGTGATTGTCGATTACCGGTACTCACATTTAAGGAGCTGGGGATAAGGCTGTTGAATCAATTGCCTAAGAAGTACAGTCGCGTAGATGTGATTGTTGATGCATACGAAGTCTATTAAAAGTGGGAAACAAAACGACTGTGGGACAAGTTCTCTTTTTTTTCATAAATTCGGAAAACACTAAAATACCAAGGAATTTTTCAAGCTTCTTGACGAATGGGTCAAACAAAGATCGTATGACTGATCTCATACTGGATGTATAGAAGGAACATAAGGATATTATTCCTAAAGGGAATTGCATTTATTGTTCAAAGAAAAATTAATGTTTTAAGTTGTCCAACGGGAATGTATGGTGTGTGGATGAGCTGGCATCTGATCAGGAAGAAGCAGACACGATAATTGCGTTGCACATTAATCATGCAATTGCAATCATCCAAGGAACAATTATTGTACGATCACCTTCAGGTGATACTGATATAATTGTTATTCTATTGGCACTCTTTGCTGAATGTGACCAGATTATGGTTGACAATGGGCACGGAAACAGCAGAAAAATCTATGATCTCAAAGAAAGCGACATGTCCAAAGAAATTAAAGAAGCTCTCCTCGGTCTACATTTTTTTACAGGTAATGAATATGTGTCGACATTTTTCAGGAAAGAGAAAAGGACGTGTTGGAAAGTGCTCAAGAACTTTCCAAGATTCAATAACACATTCGTAGCACTTGGAAAAAGTTGAATTGTAACCGATGGACTTTACAACAACTTAGAAGAGCTTGTGTGCAAGCTGTATGGACTTAAGAAAATAAAAGACGTATACACCCCGCAAGGCAACATCTGTTTTGTGAAAAATATAACAAAAGTGGTATAATTTGTAGACCTTTCCTTCTTACCACCCTGTAAAGAATGCCTGTATCTACACATACAGAGAGCCAATTATGTCTGCCGTTTATGGAGGCAATCGCGTGTCCCCATAATTGATGCTCCAAATCCACAGAATCATGGGTGGACCGCTGACAGCGAAATTCTTTGGACAAATGCTGTGATGTCAGATGATCTGATCGAATTACTTACTGAAACTGAAGTGAAGGAAGTGAAGGTTACAGTGGCAGTGAAAGTGAAATTGACGACAAATTTAGAAGTAGACATAGAGGATGAAATGTCGGAGAGTGAGGATGAATTTTTAGGTACTTAATATTAAAGTTTTAAACATTTACGACCAAAATTACATTGTAAAACATTATTTTGGCATTTATCACACACACCTGTAATACCACTTCCCAGATTATATTTTATTTAAAGTTTAACCCCAATAACTTTTGAACAAACCCTACACCTGTCCAACTGTCATTTTTTCTCGAATATATGACCTAAATTACATTGAAAACATTATTTTCGTAAACTATTGCACATTTAGGACCCCTTTCTTAAATATGCTGAATTTAACCTTTGACCCCTCATATCACGAAAAATACCCCTCCCTGGACCAATCAACAATCAAATTTGGATTCTACGCCCAAAATATGTCAAAAATGTTTCTTTTTTCACATTTATCACACAGGCAACACCCTTTTCCAGATTATGTCTTATTTGACCTTTGACCCCAATAACTTTTGAACGACTCCATATCTGTCCAATTTTTTGGAATTTATGACCTAAATTACATTAGAAAACATTATTTTGGTACACTAATCCACTTTTGTGATCCCCTTCCTTAAATATGCCAGATTTGACCTTTGACCCCACATATCTCGAAAAATCCCCCTCCCCGGACCGATCAACAACCAGATTCGTAATCTACGTCAAAAAATACATTAGAAAAAGTTGGTCTGGTAAATTCTGCAAAAATGTGACACCTTCCTCCAAATCCGACCGGTCTATAGTAACTCCCCAAAAAATGTTTGTTTTCATGTTTGTTTATATACTGTACACACACGCACAGTTGATAAAAGTGCATTGGGCCGACAGTTTAGAGTCCTTATCCAAAGAATTGGTTCATTAACTAGGCCTTGAGCACTGCAGTGGATTTGTGCTCTTTATAAATATTATTATTTTCGCACTGCACCTTTAGGCTGTAACAATCAAGAGTAAACAGTCTTTACTGCGAAGAAATGGGAATTCTGAACAGTAGCAATACGTATGCGCAGTTACCAAATAATGTCAGTGAATTATCTATAAAAATGCTAGACAGCCAGTGAGATGTGCATTGAGTAAGTGACGTTTCGAGCCATGTTGAGCATGCGCAGTTACCAAAAAGATGTCTCAGGAACTAAATAGTGGCTGCGAAGAGGGTTTGATTACCAAAAAATCGTCTGAGGAACCAAACAGCGACTGCGAAGAGGGTAAGAAATAGCAAGGGATGGAACTTTATATGCAACAATTGAGAATGCGCAATTCAGCTAAAGCGATCAGGTTATGGATGGAAAATGAGAAATTGAGCAGGTCGAAAAGCCTCTATTTTGGCTATCTTTAGAGACAGTTCATCAGTGTTCGTCAGGGGAACTGTAATTAAATTATCGCAAAAAAGGGTTTATTAGGCTCTATCATCGTACCTACGTACGTTGGCCTATGCATTGACAATCCCATAAAAAATAGCCACAAAAATTGACGACACAACCAAGGGCCTACTATAAAAGCCAAGTAGTAGAGCCATTTATTGTTGAAAAATACAGTGCTGTACGCTGCAGAGGGTTTTGGGTTAACTATTATCAAGATATCGTATGGTACCCATGCTTTATCGACCCATAAAAAATAGCCACACACAGGCGGCAGTAGTAGAAGGGCCTAGCCAAGCTAGTGGGGGAGGGGGATGAATACAAATAAATAAAATAATATTAAAAATAATATTATTATTATTAATATTAATAACAATAATGGTAAAAATGCGGTTTGGCTCAGTGGTTTTCATTCTGGTTGTTGAAATTGTAGTCAGCAGGAGTACAAACCAAATTGAAACGGTGTCCAATCTCGGGCGGCCATGTATAGATACCCCAAATTGCATTGTTGAGAGGCTGTCAATTGGCTAAGGCTATGTTTCAGCCATAGCATTTTCATGGTGTATAAATAATTGAAGTTAAGTATTAAGCCTCTTAAAAGGATAAATTTGGAATCAGCTGTATAAACAAACTGAATAAAGTAAAAATGTTGCTGTGTTTTTTTTTTATAGGAAATATTTCTTGTTGTTATTGTTTAATTATTATTATTATTATTATTACTACTATCTCAAGTTGGGAGACACATGTGATACCCTTTATTTTTACAGTATTTTTATTTTATTTATTTCCAAACCAACAGCGAAAAATCGCCACTTACAGGATGGACATAAAATATATAGTATAAACTCTAAAAATATAGAAATACATGCAGGACAATCAAAAGTACATTCTTAACTAACAGCAATCCCACCAGGAACAAAGAATCAAGAAACAAAACACAGTTCAGTTACAAGGGCAGCTTAAACCTAGATCAGCTAACATTACGTTTATGAGACAGCAGTATAAACACACACTTTCTGAATATTATGTAGGAGATAGGTTATTTCTCAGGATTTTTTGCTTGATCACATTGAGTGACAGACACCACGACTGATGTCCAGGATCCTCCCAAGATCTTGCGGGAGACTTAGGATCTCAGCGCATCAAAGGGAATCCTCCACATGTGAGAGAGGACTACTGAATATAGCTATCTGGTTATTGAAGTTCATGAAATCCAAATATTGTTGAAAGAATTTGGTGATTGGTTTTTCAAGGAAAATCCTTTGGTTGTGTAGCTGTGTATTGTATATAGGATTCTCACCTTTAGTATGGACTTGTCTTCATCTTTGCCATCTCCAGCTTGACTCTCAAATGCATACTGCTTTGGAACTAAAAAACAAAATAGAAACAACCGACTGTCCAACTCACAAATATTCATCAGATTATGGATTAGTAGTAATAGTATATTCAATTATTTTTCTCATTTCATGATTTCATTTTTGTTTTGTTATTTAAATGTTTGATCTGGCTAAAAGAGGTATGGTACCGCATCTTCATTCAATTTAATTGGTGTATGGGTCGAGTTGGTTACAGAACAGGTGTGAATGAACCTTTTAGCCTGTGTTCAGTTTTATTTTAGGATCAGGACTCCGAAGGTTAGAACTTCCCGGCTACGGGTGAGTATCAACGGATGGCCCCTTTTGCAGCCTGATGATCGAGTCACCGGATTAGCCTAGCCTATAATATTATTCGTGTAAGAGTGTGAATTTCATTATGGAACTGAATATTTCTATGCACTATACCTTCTTGTTTCTTCTTGCTTTCGACAGATTCGGATGCAATTGGTTTTGGAGGCTTTGCTTTCCTTTTACCACCCATTTAAATGAGCCCTACAAACAAAATACACACCTGATGTTAATGGGAATTCCCACTCCCAGTGACTAGTGAGATGGATTAGTGTATGATGAGCGGCGTCAACGTGTTATGGTTTTGACTACCGCCCTCAGTAAACATAGCCAAGTGCTGCTTTTCTCAGCTGATCGGTCATCAAGCTGAGACTGTACAGGTATGTCTGTTTGTATTCTCAATGACACGACTAGCGCTGAGGAAGGACGCAGCTATGTGTGTCCGAAATATTCGTCTGAAATACATATTATGTCTATAATGTCAACGTATGCAATTGTTTTACTTTTGTATCTTTCTTTATTTATTTGTGAGATACCCTACCTGGAACCATAACTCTACATAATTAGCAATTAACAAGTTTTTAGCTAAGTGTGGTTAAAATATTAGAGTACCTGTACAGCTTTTTATATCCAAAATTATATCCAAGTGTATTAAATAGTTTGATTTGATTTATATAAAAACAAATGCAATAAAACAACATACAGTGTAATGTCATCTGTTACATCAGTAATCGTATCATGATGACAACTTCCAGAGGTCCCGGTCAAAATCTCCCGGAAATTGAGACAGACTCCCACACTCCCAGTGGCGTACCTAGAAGTCTTAAAATTGGGGGAGGGGGGAGAGGCCTGCGAAGGTTAAGTGTGGGGGTTGAGGAGCGGTATTTCGACAAAATAAGGTGATTTTTAAATATGTGACCGTGATTTTTTTTTGGAGAGGGGGGGGGGGGAGGCGTGCACAACTGCACGCTCCGCAAGCAATCTTCATGAAAATAACTCATCTTCCGCAAATTCATAATATCTGCATGTTTTCCCTGCTTTATTATCAATTGTCTCACGAAAGTCAGTGCCGATGGGTCACTATGTGCAGCAGAATGAAATTAGATGTGTGTGTTAAGAAAGTTCATTAAACCAAATCTTACAAAAGTGACTTCTTCCAAACTTGGGATCTCTACAATTCATATTTTATAAATCGTGACAACAACAAAGGTTAGTTAAAATCATTATATTTTCAAAAAAATTTAATACACTTCTTCAAAATAATATACATTTTCATTATGAACAACTGACGATTGCTTTACAAGGCCAGAAGCATGCACGAGGGTTATATAATAACTACAGTACATACCAATGAACATTATCTATATATCTACAGTATGTATGATACGTTTTCACTACAAAACAGTATAAAATGCATGATACTGGTAAATTGCACAATTTTATAAAACAACTAAACTTGGTCCTAATAAAAAAAACAAACACAATCTCCGACTAAAAATATATGCAATGTTTCAACACAGCATCTTAAAATATACAATAATTACTACAGAATAATATTTGGATATTTCTTACATATTTCTTTTCAAACACACCTGTATAAATTATTGTCATATCGTCTATATTAACCATTAATAGTATATGTTTAAAAATATACATTTAGCATGGAGTAAAGATATTAAACATTCTATGTTTAAGTAACTTGAAAAGTTAAAAATTTCGAAATTGAGAAATGCTTAGCATGTTTATGTGATATACAGTAATTGGAAAAAATACATTAAAAAAATCAATTACTAAGATAGAGTGTCTTTCTGACTATTAAGAAATTGAATTTCCATGAAACACAGATTTTAAGTTTTATTTAATTTGTTTTACAAAAAATATTCTATACCATTATATTCATTACCACTTAAAAAAAATATTCTTAAATTGATAGTCTGCCAATTTTAAGGGTCTGTGCAAAAAATAGGAATGGTATTATTTATGCGTCCATTAATTGTGAGAACATCTTTTTAAATTTCAAGTTTTGTTTTAAAAATAAAACTTTCTAAATGTGATCAGTAAGTACAGTATTAAAATTCATTATAAATTTTATATGTTTATCTTTAATACCACTCGCAAGTCTAAGTGGGTACCTGATAGGTTCAACTGACAATACCCTGATTACTAGCTGCTATGTTACGGAATACTCCCCCAGGGAGCTGAGTATAAGTTCTAATGGTATTTAATCAAAAGAACTGGAAATAATGTGCATTCTCATTATGTGTTATATAAAATTACAGTAACACAATACAGTATTACATAAGTTCCAGAACTCCTTAACACAGATTAAGTCACTACACTTTTTCTTTTTTCTTTAAGCACACTAAAAACGATTGTAAACTCCCTATATTAAAAGAAAAAGTAACTACACAGAAATTTAAAAGTTCAGAATTATTTTCTTTAACCCTGCTGATTGGAATGTAGAAATTTAACCTAACCATTACATTTAGCACCCTTCTGTTAAAACTCCTTTGAAAGACTAACATCTTGACATGCATGATGTATCTACAATTTCAAGGGTTTACTGAACTTAATGCATAGAATTATTAATGATCAAAAGAGTCACAAACATCTTGGAAAGTTTTCATAGGTACAAATTCGCAGTGCCCTCTATCTCACTCAAGTATCCATAACTAAATATATTGAAAAAAATAACTAACATTTTTCATGTTCAAATATAATCTCTTGCAATCATTTCAATAATTAAACTAATTCCTGCATAGTATAATACAGAAATAAATGTGTGTAAATCTTCTATAATCTTTGACAGCACATGTTCTGTGACATATTTCAACTGAATGAAAATTATGGTATTCATACATTTGGTTGGAAGAACTATACCTTAATTCTAAAATAAAGTGACTCTAAAAATAGCAGACAATAAATTGGTTTATATAACTACTGTATATAATTTGCATTTAACAAAAGTTATCTATTAATTAACAGTTATTTCATTATAAACCCAAAGCAGTGACTTGGCACTAACATGATAGAAAACAACTACATTTAATACTCTGTAAATATAAAGACACACAATCAAAAGTTGTAATTCAACTATGACAGAGGGTTTGCATAATAATTTGTATGGGTGTCTGGTGTTTGCATTTACCATTTGAATTAATTTCTCTTTGATTAAAATTATCTCATTACCTTATGTTTAGAGAAAGTGTATTTAAGGTTTCCTCTGTAATACTACAGTACAGTAATACTGTTTTCAATATTGTTATTGTCATATAGTGTTTAAAATATGAAAATTAAATCTATGAATTTAACAACTTGAAGCTATTTTTCATTAAATCGAAATCAACACCATTGAGAAACTGACAATGCAGTTGGTCAGCCATTGAGAAACTTTTACCATTGCCAAGCAGCATATTAATCTGCTGCTCGGCAATGTAGTTCACCATCTTGGCACATTCCTCTGCATGCCATGTAGCTAGATACTTATCAAGAGAGCCCTCCGTCTCTGCAGTGACAAGACTCTCTAGAGACGGACCCCAAATTAGGAGATGCAGCAATTCAATGCTCTGTTTTGCACTGAGTCTGTCTGTAGGATTCTTTCGTAGAAGTTCACCTGCAAGCTTCTGTAATCCATGTGAATATCTTGACTTGATAGGAAGTTTTGGCAAATCACTTGGTTTGTAGTCTCTGATAATGAGGTTGGTTTTCACACTAAAGGGGTTTGGCTGATGGAGCAATTTGTAAATCAGTATGCCAACATCAAACTCATTAGTCTTATTAATGATGCTTGGAGAGAGAAGTGTACCATTAACAAGTTCTGACTCTTCTCTTTCTGCAAGGCTGATGTAGTCAATTACTAAATAAATGCCTCCACCAGGAAGACCAGAGTCTAAAAGAAGGAGATTCTCCATCTTGACAGTTGAAAGGCTGATGTTGTTATTCTCAAGATGTTGTAAACCAGAGAAGAGTTGCAAAAGAAGTGTTATAACTTCACCTTCATATTGCTCAGGTAAGAAATTATGTTTCTCCTTCGAGTAACTCACAAACTTTGCAACACTGCTAACTGGTTGGATTGCCAATGCTACCAGCAAGCTTTCAGATGTCTCTGCTGATTGGTCGACAGGATCCTGACACTTGGATGGAGACGTTTCTGGTCTAATAATTGAGCTTGGTACATGGGTCTTGGAAGCGGAGCAAACATTGATGATATTTGGGTGTGGCAAAATCAGTTGAATTGAAAAGATAAATTTGTACAGAGGATCTACTAATTCAGAGTCTGTGAACACCTGTAACAAAATAAACATGATCAATTAAATCCACCGACAAAAATACACAAAAAATGCTTGAAATTAAGATAAAATACTGAACAATAAAAAAATTTTTCAATAAATTATTTTAGTAAAATATATGAAAAACACTAAGAACATAATTTCACATTGTCAAAATCAATCAATTTGCCTACCATTAAAGTGAAGTTTTTCTCCTCGCTACCATTTAGCTCAGCAGAAAAGAACTTAGCTTCTGGACTGGTGAAGCATGGTTGCTCCATAGTTAATTTAAAGTCCTTGAAAACCACATCATCCAGTCTTGGGCAGGTCTCATGGCAGTTCTGCCACACAGAAGCAACCTTTGACAAAGTTATCATGTTTCTATTGGTAATTTTGGCAACAAAGGGATCTACCACATTCACACTAGCATCAAGTGATGTTGGAGGAGAGAGAGACTCCGCTAATAATGTCTCTAGTTTCAATGGACTGGTTCCTTGATCAACCATTAACTTCTTTATTCTTGGAGCTGGCACTGGTGTGTGATTATAGGTGGCATCATTATCAGATAATACCATGTCGACATTGGCATACAGTTTCTCTTTATTATTTTGAGATGTGTCATTTTGTGATGCTATTGATGGATGGCCTGGGACCAAGACCCTGACTGGCCTTTTAGGAATTTTTTCATCCACCTTACTATGATTATCTTCAACGTTTCTCATGGCAGATTTTAAAGGGGTAGAAGTCTTCACAGCCATAACTGGATTTGGGAAGTTTGACTCTACAGCACTGTTGCTCCTTCTTCGTGGTGGAGATGGTGGTCTATCAGCTTCATCATGGGAACTCTGATTAGCGGAAGACATTCCAGAATCTTCTCTATGGACGCCAGCATCTCTAGGAATTTGAGGAGCTATACGCTTTTTATGAGCATCTGTTTGGGAAGGCAGGTTCTCAAAAGCAGTAGTTCGATTTCTAAATCTTCTTGAGGGTTTCTTTGGTGCAGGGAGACCATTCCGTACAGGTCCTGAAAAAAGTAAAATTGTATAGAGTATATTTAATAATATTTTTACTCAGGAATATCAAAACTAATTCACAATCACAATTGTTAAATGAGATATAGTCTGCCAAAGGAATAAGTTGGAGTCTCGGACAATTATAAAAGAATTGTTTGAAAATCTGAGTGGTCAATCAATAAAGAGTTTACAATAAAACTGGGACGATGTGGTTATGGATGTGGGGTCCTTCTGGTGGTGATTTGGCAGTACACCGGAAGACAATCCCTAATCTTTTCCGAAAAGTATACTGCGTTGTTCAACATGCACATGGGTCATAATGGACAAGGGAAAAACGGCTTAAACGTCTCATCTGAAAGACGGTGCACTATCGTAACCTGCATTTCAGCCCTTCAGCTGGAGTGCAGCGATGGAACTGAACCGGGGACCTAGAGATCTCCACGGCTCAGCACACATGCACAAGTACCTTAATACAGGCAGTACTTAAACCCTAATGGATGCAATTTAAAAGATTATATTCCTGCTGGGGCCAGAAAATGGTGATATCTTCAAGAGGGTAGACCAAACAGAGGTTGTTTTATAGTTTTCCACTGTAGTTTTTCCCTATTTGTATATTGTGAAGGTATTTTTGCTTTGATTAGGAATTCTTTAAAAAATGGTGAAGGTGGAAATTTAGATGCCATAAAAATTTGTATTGAACAGTTAATTTAAAATGACTATTTAAAACCTTACCCCAATTTTCATAATTTTCCATGCAATTACTCTTGATGCTACTGACTGAAGTGAATGAATGCGATTTTTGTAGCTTAGCTGGTGTTTTCTTTTTCCTGATTTTAAATTCCTCCAATAACTGATCACTTTGTATAACATCAGGTGGTCCTGGAGCTTTACGTTTACTGAGGCTACTTGTTAATCGTGGCAAAGGAGGAGAGTCAACTGGTCTATGAGCTTCAACATAAAACTTGGAGAGACCATGCTCAGATGTTGGTGTGGAATAATCAATATGGCAGCTCTCGATAACTGGAATTGGTTCACCTTTATAAGCTTTGATCACTTCTAATCTCTGTAAAGATTCTTCACGGGATACTGCAGCAATTTCTTCTTCAGTCATGTGCTTATTAATCAACCAATCAGATACACCTTTCGCATTAAATTCTCGCTCAGGACTACCACCATCTTTTCGTCGAGATCGATTCTTCCGCCATGGCAGCTTAGACCATTTGCCTTTTGTTTCTCTGGATATTGGCTGCACTGGTTCAATGGCATCAACTGGAAGTGTCACAGGTCTTTGTGGACTGGTGGTTGTAAACTGTGCCAGTGGGGATCCATTGCGTGGTGGCGAGTAAGAGGCCAGAACTTCATGTACTGGATCAACTGGTTCCTTGTCTCCAGCTTTGTCTTTAGTCTCTTTCCTGTGGGGAGACAGAGATCGATCTCTTTGATTCAACAGTGGTGCAGTCCTCTTCTTACCATCCATGTTCTTCTCTGGGGTAGACCTTTCTGCCAATTTATCATGACTTGAGGGTGCTTTACTGTTGACAGGCAATGTAGTGCTCTTTGAAGAAGGATGGGCTTGACTAGAACTACCTGTAGGTCTAGGCTTGTTAGTTGGTTTGTTGTTGTTTTCAACTGTTCTTGAATTAGATTTTGGTATGTTTACTGGTTGGGACATCTTCCTTTCCAAGTTTTGATGAGGGGGCAATGGTGGTGGTACCTTTGGCATGGTATCTGAAAAAGTCATCATCTCATCAGCAGTAAAATTATACATGGTAAGGGATCGCCTTGATTTACTCTCTGGTGGTGGAGGTGGAGCATTACGCTTCTGGCGCATCTTCACTGGAGTTTTTTTAATGTTCTCCAGGTCCTCATCACTGAATTGAATGTTTTTTTTAAAACTCTGTTCACTGTTTTGAACAGAGGAACTAGCATGAGATGAAGTAGGATGGGTGACAGATCTTTTTCTTGACCGTGAATCTGATTTTTGTTGATTCATTTTAATGTCTGCAGACTTTCTTGAGCGAAGCTTCTTTTTAATTCCACTACTTTCTCCACCACTGCTTGAAGTGCTTTTTGACATATCTGAAAAATCAGTCTCTGATTCTGGAACTACATCATAATTGTGATCAATATCATTTGAAGGGGTACTAAATCTTCTCATTGGTTTAAGGTACTGGTCATCTGTGGATTTTGGTTCAGGCAGTACTTTGCCATCTGATCTTTGCGATGACCCATTTACAGCATCAATGTTAGAGCCTATAAAAATTGGTACTCTGTATAATGAGGAATCCGAATTTCGCTTTGCAGACTTTGGCAAGGCAGACATTTCATGATGAAGAATTTTTGGCAACGTTGGTGATTGTTCAGCTGGTTCTTCATATTCAGGTACGTTTCCAGATGCCTGCCTCCCAAACTGATGTTCCTTTACTGTATAGGTTGAATCAACAAGGGTGATCTTTTGCTGAAACACTGTTTTATGACCATTTTCAGAGTCATCACTATTGTTTGAAAGTCTGTTGTCTTTATCTGACGTTCCTGGAATGTCAGTGACAACATATGGTGCACATTCATGCGTCTCTAAATCAACAACTCTGTAAGGCTGAACCTTTGAAGATGTGCTGAAGCTACTTCCACTGGAATGCAATGATAAATTTGACAATGTAGAATTGGTAGAAACCCTGTTATCTGAGGGTAGATGCAATGGGGGCGATTCTGTGCATCGAGACACTGATCCATCAGCAGATATGATTGTAATTTCTCTTGAAGACTCCCTTATCAAAGGAGGTCGATGATTATTGTTTGTGGAGTTGTTTCTATTTTCCTGATTTACATTCATCCCAAAATATATCTCTGAGCTTATCTGACTGCTTTTCACTTTCTTGTTTTGCGATATCTTTGCAGGGTTCGCACTGTCGCTCAATAAAACTACATTGATCTCTTCAACCTTTTGCTCTGGTTCATATATTTCTGGGTCAGAATCACGTCGTTCTGATAAATCACCAATTGATGGTCTTTTATGATTACTACCAATGCTCCTAGGTAAAGTATCATGCTTTTCTATTTTAAAAGCAGAGTATGCAGCATTTGAAAGCATCTGGGATGGTAAATCAGATTTGGCAGCAATGAGTTCTTCTTTTCTTTTCAAATCTTGTACTATTACAAAGTCCTTTGAATCTACTCTTCCATCAGGAAAGTCCTGCTTCCCTGATGGAGTACTTGTGGAAATTTGTGCAATGTTATTCTCCTCTATAACAAAATTATTGTTAACTTTTTTTAGACTCTTTGCAACCCGCTGAAATTCAAGACCAGTATTGTCTGTGCAAATAGAATTTGTGCTCTTTGTCAGTCGTACATGCTGTTTTTCTGTAGGTGACACACTTTCTGTTTCTGGAGCAGAATCTGCCCTTCGCGACCTTGGTGTTGATTCTCCATTACTCTTTAGTAGAATTTGGGAGCCTGTGGATTTTGCAACTGGATTTTGACGCCTTAATCCCGAACCTACTGGTTTATCTTTAACCTGCGGAGGCGTTCTTGAATTTTTGTTGCAAGATTTTTTGTGGGTTCTTGAACTCACATGAAAACCATTGCTTTCTGAGAAGCCATTTTCTTTATGGGACCCATTCACCTGTTGGTCACTGTCAATAGAACAAATTAACGTGTCTTGATATTTGTTTGAAATGGGTTTGTCAAAACTTTCACCATCATTATTATCTCCATTCTGTAGCTCAATAATTTTAACATTAACTGGTTCCAATGTTCGACTTATGCTTATTGAGTGCTGAGCCAGTGGTTTTAAGCATTTGGCGCAATAGTTGTGCTTAAATTGATGTTGTTTGTAGTCCTTGCAGGGAATGTTGTTTATCTTAACTTCCTCCTTCATGTTGAATAATTTAAGACTATCATTTGATTAGCTGATTAATGGAACTGTACACATTATTTCCATTCTCATTTAAATTAACAGTCATATTCAGGTACTTGATTTCATTATTCTTCCAACCCTACAAATGTGAAAGAAAATTGTTCCTAGACATCTTATCTTCTCTGAAGTAGTAGATCACTTGTGATTAAGAATGAAACTCCAGGTTTTTGTCTTATCCAATATTCCAAACTGAGCTCTTTTAATTATCCACAAGTATGTAATATAGTCCTGTGAAAGAAAAAAGAAACAAGACTTCATCAACCAAAATGAAAACATCCTAAAAAAATATTTATACTATAAATTTCTGTTACAGTAAGAAAATGATAAAAACTATGATTTTACTACTGTACTGTAGGTTTTTATTAAACATGTGTGTCCCATACAGATCTGAAATAATCAATTCATATTTTGGAATTTCCACCATAATAAGTGGAATACACAATACATTCTTTTCCAGTAAAATCCACAAAATGCTAGTAACATACCAAAGCATACAAACTTGGAGAAAACTTGGGTGCAAAGGGACCAAGAATAATTTGAAAATTGATTCCTTAATAATAAATTACCTTTAAAAAAACTATAATTACAGTACAGTTTCCTGATATTATTTGTGATCTATCCATACCTGTATGAAACAACCAAGTATAATAAATAATCTAAACACATGGGAGTTAATAAATCAACATACTAAATTTGAATGAATATGATTCATATCTATATTATTTTTAATTTTTCTTTAAAAGAATAAATAATATCATCATTATTCCTTCTGATATTAGAATTTAAATCTCTGACACCAGTCACACAAATCAATAATTTTGCCTAAAATCTAAATGACAATGAAAGCTGATGGTGAGGTCCAGGCAACAGATACAGATTCAAGTTCAGATTATTCATAATTGATTAATGTAATTTTGATCTTTTGTGTGGTCTGTTTTACCATTTCTGTATTTTGATATACTGTACAGTCCTACAGAATATACACACAGACTGATTTCTCATTCAAATTATTAAGTCAATACAAATTAACACTAAACAATAAGAAAATAATCATCAATTTCTCTAAATGAATAGATAAGGCAAGTCTAAAACCATATCTCCAATATTTATGAGTTTTAAATATTATCCGGAAGATCTAGCATATCAATTGTCTTGAATGATACTATCAAAAATGTCTGCAGAAAATCTTTTTTTTTTAATATCCTGAACAAATAAAGCAGCTCATTGGTCCACTTTATTTAGCATATTTTGTGGGTAGATGATACATAGGAAACAGAGTTTTAATGAACATACTGTGTCATCAAGTGCTGCATGCTTGCACTTTTCAGACAACCTTTCATAGAGATACAGTATAACCCCCTCCTTTGAGACACTACTATTAAGGGCACACACATAAAGGGGACACTTTTCGGCAGCGAAATATGTACGTTTTTACACTATGGCCTACTAGACCGGGAGCCCAGAGGGGTCACCCTAGCTGGAAAGAAAACCAATTTTCATACCCTTATTTACGGGACACCCTTTGGTCCCAAAGGCGGCTCCTTAATGAAGGCATTCTGTATTGGAAGACAGTGAATTTTCTTAGCCCCTCACAAGCCATTTCCAGCTTGTAAAATCTTGTTTTACTTTTTTGGTTGAAACCTTAACCTGAAACAACTACCGGGACGTAAACTACCAAATCTGGCAGCAAAAATTAAGATTACAAACAGATCAGACTGTGCTAATGGTCAAATTTTGATATGACCTAATAAATGACTGGGTTTAAGTAGTCACATGCACTGTAATATCTAAATCCCTTAATGCTTTTAATGGTATACTGAAGTACCATATGTACTTCTACTAATACTATCCTGTTTCTCTATCCTTGAAACCATAATGAAACCACAGACTAACTAAATGATTAATTTTAAAACAAACCTTTGAAGAAAGTATTATGATTAACAGCATCTACTTCACATAAGCCTTAACACCACCAAGAACAATATCAAAATGAAAGCAAATTGTTTTACACCTACAGTATATCAATAAGCAACCTACAAAATGAACTCTTCCAAACATGTACTATAGATGGTCAGTGAACTGTGACCCCAAGTCTGCTGGTGTATTATCTGCTCACCCCCACACTTCAATGAGTCATTAGGTAAACCGCGGGGAAGTCCCTGCTAACTCATGCTTGGAGATATTTGTTGAACAATGATTGAATCTTGCACTTGACCAAATTCCACCCTGATTATAAGAGGAACCAATAAACATACCAAAAACAAATTTTGGGTTATTCATAGAGTCTGTAGGCTAATACCCATAATAAAAATTAATATTATATAGTAGACCTAATATTTGGTACAAAATCATAATATTTTTTAGTGCCTTTTTGGATTTGATTTTGCAAGTTCAACTGCAGTATAATTAAAAATAAGAACAATCAATGTTTTAGTTTTTATTAAACCAAGGAGGAGCACAAAATACTTGTATGCTTTAAAAAGGCTCCCTTTGAAGCTTTAATTAATAAATTTGTAACTTACAACATAGATTTTTATAGCTCTGTGATTACCAATAAAAATATGTGAGGTGAAAGATGGTTAACTTTAACACTGTGCATAAACCTATAGATTAAGAAAGAAAAACCAACTGACCTCAATTTCTAAATGTGTCTGTGCTTGGCAATGCAAATATTTTTTTTTTGCCTTTATACTATCAATGTTGATAAAGTACCTGTACAATGTTTACTTGACTTAGCCAAACATGAATTATTACGTCAATAGGATAGAAGATCATGTTTAATGATATCAACAAGTCCGGTTATAAAGCCATTTAATGAGTGTCATTCAAGTTTTATCCCTCCTTTTCCCCTGTAGGAGATTGAGGGAATTCCCTTTAGGTCAATTATATTTTCAGCATCTTAAGACAATTTTTTGTCAAAGGCTCTCTACAAAATATACTATCATTACCATTGAAAATGATTATAAATTCTTAAAATCAGTACTTTCAGCTTACATGGTGAAACTATCAGAAATTTATATTCATCCGAGCCTATAAACCTTTCAAAACAAACTTAGGCACTTTTTTGAACTGCAGTTATGGAGTCACATCATGTACGTGATGAGGTTAAAGAAATTTAATAAAAAGTATAAGCACATATGATAGTGGGCTTCAGACCCTAGAACAATGACAAAAAATCCTTGTAGTTCAAACAATATCAGTTACCTCGCATGACCTTTGACTGAATTGTCACGTTCGAGATGTGATAACAAGAACAAACATTGATTTAAAGCTACCTTCACGAGTTGACAGTCCTATTGATATGGCGAGTGTATTGAACTACTTCCTTACCTACTTCCTTGGTACCCTTGACTAAAGATAACTATTACTGAAATCTAAATTCCTCTTCCACAAATGTACAATATTTTGCTTCTAAATGGAAAAATCCAAGAATTTATAGATCGTGTATGTGTCCAGG